TTTTGTTTCGTTTTATTTATTCATTCCCTTTTAGTTCTTTTTTCTAAAATGTGTGTCTTTTATCTTCCTGTGTTCTTAATAAATGGTGTGAGTTAATAAATGTTCTGTGTCTTGTTTTATTTCTTATTTTGTGCCCTCCTCATTGTGTTAGGAGCCTTTCGTATTCCTCTGTGTCCTTTTATGCTGTGGCTTCTGATTACTGCATAATTTGTGGTACACAGCACTTTGTATCTGTTTTTGTAGAGATGTACTCCATCTCCTCATGCCTCCAACTCCTCATCACCACTCACACCACCACAGTGTACATCTTTGTACATGTCTTCCTGTGTGAGAATTCCTCTGGGATACACCCACCCAAAGCATTGCTGGCCAAAGGCTATGCATAGACTTCATTTAAGCACTCTCCTGTATTGTTCTCCAGAGTGGTTGATCTGCATTCCCAGCAACCCAATGTGCAAATTTCTCCATTCCTGCCAACTCTCACCAGTATTCAGCTCTCTAATTTTTTGCCAGTCTGATAGGTGTAAAATGATAGCTCATTGTTGTTTTAATTTGCATTTCTCTGGTAATTAATGAATCTGAGCACCTATTCATATGCCTGTTAGTTTACTGGGTTTTCTCTTCTGTTAATTGCCTATTCATGTCCTTTGCCCATTTTTCTATTTCAGTTACCATCTTTTCTTTTTGATATGTACAAAGTTCCTACTGATTCTAGATACTAATCCCTTGTTGGATTTAGCCAGTTTAAATATATTCTCATCTTATCATCTGTCTGTTAATTCGTGGTATCCTTCTTTGACTATAAAGTCTTTAAAGCCTTTTTATATATTCAAATCATCTCTTTTTTGCCTTCTGGTTTATGATTTTCAAGTTGTATTTTGGAGAAGGCCTTTATGACCCATGTCACAAAGATGTGTACCTATGTTTTCTTTTATTGGCTTTATGAGTGTGTCTTTCACATTTAAGTTTCGAATCCAGCTGATTTCCACCATGGTATGAGATGTTCCATGAAGATCCATTCTTATTTTTATCCATGGGAAGTGTTAGTTTTCCTGTTAATATCTACTAAGCTACCTATTCTTCCCTTGATTGATTTGTAGTGCCTTTGTTCTTGCATTTTAGGTTTGCATATTTTAGTTCTGTCTCTGAGCCCTTTGTTCAGGTTTTTTGTGTAGCTGTTTTTGTCCCAATACCTCTCTGTTTTTAATAATAACTTTGAGGCAACTCTTAATATCCACTTATTTAAGTCTCCTCTATTCAATCTCCTTTTTGAGGTTTGACTTGGGTATTTATGAGTCTTTATCCTTCTGTATAAATTCTAGAATAAGTTTAAGAAGTTTCTCCCAAAATAAAATTTTTCTTTGGGATTGCATTAAATCGTACAGATTATTTGGAGGATGTTGACACCTTTGTAATATTGAGTCATGTCTTCCAAGGGCTTTGAATGTCTTTCCATTTATTCAGACCACCAGTGTTTTTTATTAGAATTTTCTTTTTCTGCCTAGAGCTCATGTGTGCTCCTGGTCAAGTTAATCCCTAGATACTAAATTTAAAAACCAA